TCCTTGCGCCCGATCATGGGGTACTGTTGGCGGGACCATGTGTCCAACCAACGGCTGCACCGTGAGACGGGCACAGGACCTATTATGTGCATAATCCGTGATCGCCAACTCAGGCTTTACGGCCACCTGGCTCGCTTCCCTCAGGATGATCCCGCCCACCAGTTGTCTCTGTTCGAGAGAGCCCTGGGTGGAGGGGCCTGTGGGTCGACCTAGGAAGTCGTGGCTTGGGCAGATCGATCAAACCTATCATGAGGAGCTGGCGATTTGCCATGAGGGACCCTCGCAGGTACAAGCAAAGGGTGGATGCGGCTATGCGCCCCCGTCGGCGTTAGCTTCGCAATAATGATGAACGCTTTTCGGGACAAAACTAGATTCGTTCGATTTCTATTGTTTTGGTTCAGTTGATTCTGGTGTTCGTTTCCATTGGAAATGGCTAGATCTTTTCCATACCAGAGTTGCGCCACTCTTGATATAATGGATGTGCACTCTGGAATTCTCGTTCTCTGCTGTAATCACAGTACCGACTTAGTCACCCCATGGGGGAATGCCGCCCCCAACCTCCACCCAGGAAAACAAAGAATCCACGTATTTACGACAGGAGAGAGCGTCGGACAGACTTGGCATAGGGCAGTCCCGCATGTCGGTCGTAGTTACGACAAATTACACTAAAGGGGCTGTGCCCCCTGCGACCCCCTGTTGGGGGAGGCTGACGCCCCCCCTCCCCTTGCCCAGGAAAACAATGAATCCTCCACGTATTCACGGCAGGAGAGAGCGTCGGATAAAGGTGCTTCCATACATGCCGTTCGTACGCACGCGAAGCACCGTACATATAGTCACTTCAGTGAAAATAAACCTAAAATATACCTATGCAGTAGAGCGGCTTGCGGGAGAGGAAGCGCTGGAGAGGTCTGCGTGGCACGAGCGACGCGACGGCCGATCGCAGGGCATTTCAGAGGGCAGAACTCCGTGTTCACGTAAGAGTTTCAAGCTAGCCTCATCGTCTTCAAAATAACTTTATATAAATTGGAATGGTTTGATACCACATCCTACACACACGGAAGTCATGGCGAGACTAATTTGAAAATTGAATTTCATAGCTTCTATTTTAGCTAATGTTCATTCATTGGCTGTTTCCCTCGTGAATTCTTTCCCCATTAGCTATTAAATTAACCGCCAAACAATTCACCAATGAAATCGTGACACTGGCCGTGACGTCACAGGCGAGATAACAGGAACAGTACGGGTACGAGAGACCCGCGCATGCGCAGTGAAGAATTTGGTCAGTATTCCCAGCTCCCGTGTGAATCTCACCTCGTTTGTTATTTTAATTTATTTTAAAAATTAAATAACTTCGTTATTAATTTGCGAGACAAGTTTATTTAATGAAACGTGATTGTTAATTAAATATCTTCATGGCTATAAGGTTAGTTTTGGTCGATTCAATGGTGACGCCTTTTTTCCAATAATCGAATTACTTATGGATGATTTTTAAACACTAAGGACAAATAGGCAGTAAAAATGGAATAGTATATCCAGATGAGCTTGCGAATATGGAAATACAATATGGCTATAAATCCCTGAAAGAATAGCAACTGAATGGTCTATAATTTTGAGCAGTTAGAGGCCATCTCATAACTCTCGCATTACCAACCTTTGCCTTTGGAATAACCATTGAAGTGATCTATTACCCGGCAGAACCACTTCTTCCAATTCTCACACAAGGAGTCAAACTCTTTCAAGGCCTAAACCCTCTCTCCAAGGTAGTATATCTACTCTAGGCTGTCTTCACCTACCGGCTATACAATAGGGAAATTGACCCACATACCTTTGAGCGAGGTACCAAGTGTTTCTGAAATCAGGGGCTTTAAGTACTGGTTTCTTTACCAAGTTCTCCCTAAGAAAATTAAATGCATATTCCTGTTAACCCAGATGGAAACATTTTTCTCTAGAGTTAACTTCGTCAGAGCATTGGGCTTTCTTGGTGTATCCCTCAACAAATCTTTGATAATAGCTACTCATTTCTAAGAACCTTCGTACCTTTTCGATTGTTGGATTTCGGGCAATTGTGTACTGTTAAACGTAACTAGGACAGGTTTTACATGCACGTGTCCTACTCTGTGTCTGAAAAGGTTAACCTCCTTCTGGAATAGGTGACTTATCAGGAATGGTCTTCATTCTGGCTTGTATTAGTATCTGTAAAGCTTCTGCTGCCATGGTTAAATAAGTTTAGATATCCTCACCATATATTGCAATATAATCCAAAAATAATTACAAAACTTTTCCAATTTAACCAGTGATCCCTGTTCAGGAATCTTTTAAATGTCCTTGGGGCATTGGGATATCCAGAAGGTACCACAGTATATTCATAATGCCTTAGGTGCGTAGAGAATGCCGATTTCTCCTTTGAACCCTCTTCTGGTGGCATGGGGGTGATATCCACTTCTTAAATCTAGGGTGAAAAACCACTTGTTTCTGATTAACCAGATGCAAGATATCTTCAATCAGAGGTAAGGGATAAAACCCGGTCTCGTTTTAGCTTTGGGAGCCTGGTAATCCACACAGCCTTGAATGTGAATTATCCCTCCTCCTTACATAGACAATAGGAGCATTCCACTGTGAACTGACCCTTATATGACCTTGGACCTGTGCCTCTACTACTGTTCGTAGGGCATAGGCAATAACCCTGGGTGGAATATAAACCCATTATTCATCAACTGCATCTATCCGATGAGTAGCCAAGTTTGCTTCCGCATGTGGCTCCTTCAGATTACAGGCTGCCTGACAGTCAGATCTTTATCTACTTTCACCTATTGTGGGGCGATCTGAAGTGCCTATCCCAGTGGGTCATCCTTTTCATTGCCATTGTCCGGTATTTCCGTCATTACAGCATTTACTGCTAATTTAGCCATATCTTTTTTTTCCCTATGATCCGAAAATAAATTCCCAAACAGTTCCATATCCGTATATTCCACATGGAACGCCTGAGCTATCCTACGAGTTTGGTGATTAGTACAGGTACTCTACCCCAGTTACAAGCAAGGACTTTCACCTAATCATGTGCTTTGCATATGGCAGGAAGGAGAACACATTCCTTCTCCAATGGCTTTCCATTTAACATCATTAGAGTTTCATTAACCATTTGTCCACCTTTATATTTAAGACATCCTGTTAATACAATTTTGACTTTATCTGAGCTGTAATTTTTCTTCTGAGGACAGTCGTTGACTATATATCCATCTTTCTCACAGAAGAAACATTTAATCTTTGCCGGGTTCTTGGGATTTGTCGACGGCAGTCACTGTTAGGGTGGAGTCCTTTGGTCCATCTCCGCCCTTCTGTGATCCAGTTGTTCTAGTCGGCCAACATAAAGAATGCTTGTAGGACGTTTTTCTCTACTTCAGAGGTTGAAATGAATGTCATCTCTCCTTGGGTTCCAGAGTTCCCTTATCTGGGATCCAAACTTGACGATAATAACTCATTGCTTAGATCTACTACACCAAATATGCCCTTATACAGAGCCTAGTATATCCCTTAGACCTGACTTCCCTGCAGAAAAATGAATCTTTTTTCATGTTCACACAATGACTGTCTTCCTTTGACATGCATCTTCACAGCTTTCTTGTAAATTCCAACTTTCATTCGATAAGTAAAAGTCAAGCCAACAATTTTTCCAAATGTATTGTGCTTTATTGCATTTTCCATTTAACACCATTACTACACAGCTATTACACCTTTCCAAATGCATAAAACCTTTTATTCACATGTAAACTGAAGAAAAATGTCTCACTATGCTGAGAAAAGAAAATTATTCTTCTATCAGTCAAAGAAGCCAAAATTAATGACATATGAGTTGATATAATGGTCTGGTATATGATCTTGTGACATTACGTACATCCACATACAAGAATACAATTCCCACTTGCTTACTGTCTATAGTGCTGCTCTTCTGAGAAAGATTTCTTAAAACTTGTATTATATATCTTATTTAACACTATATTATCCCACCGCTGCCACCAACTGTTACCTAGCTCCCTTGTGAATGCTGCTATACTACTTATTACCCTCTTAATAATCCCTTGAGTAGAGATGATACACAAATTGAACATATACCACATATGTTCACGTATAGGTACTGGATAACAAATTTATTACTCCACTCCCTCTGCAGCAGGCTCTTTGTTTGAATAATAATAATATTTCCAGTTTTACATGACTTCACACTTACAAGATTCAGTCTATGCCAATATCATTTTAGATAGTTATTACAAACACAAGAAAACACTTCTAACCCTATGAGGATGGGTCCTGATTTGTTTGTGATGTAATATTACACAACAGCCTAGACTGTAGCTAGGCCTAAGGTGTGTACAGCCAGTCCACCCGCTGTGAGTCATGATGCGTTTACAAGTCATAAGTTGTTACATCATAACAGCTATAGTCATTACCATCACTGAGGGGTTAGTAGAGACTACTTAGTTTTTCAGCTCTTTAAAAGTATAATATTTCCCCTTGGAGATAGAAAATGATGAAGACACTTATCAATGCCACTTTGAGTGTCACACAGAATTCAAAGCCGTTTCTATAAGGATTAATAAATCCACCATATATAGTCTGTCTAATCCTCCAAGCACTATCACAGTTTGCACTGAACTGAGGCACTAGTGACCTGGCCTCTCCTGATCCTGCTACTCAGCTTAGACCACAGGTTATGTTTACAAGACCTGTACGTTATCAACCTTATGTCCCGGAGTAAAGCATCTTGTGCCTTGTAAGACATTAAAGGCTTATTCTCACCATAGGTTCATCACCACACTAGCTACAATGGAATGTGGAGTTCCCCTGAACTACCATTCCATCATCCATACAACCATTGGGAAACCATTTCCACGGTGTATAATGATGTATTTTTTTTTCTTGGTGAGAAAAGAAGAAAAAAGAAATTCTTGAATTACAAGAGATAATAACTGCAGGGTGTATAATGGAAAAAAAACACATCAACAATACATCCTAAATTTATATTCAAAAATATAAAATATTTCTCTTCTAGAAATAGACAAGTAAATTCTTTAAGCTTTACACAAATGGATATGCAACAATAAAAGTACATCTTTATATACAGTCATAACAGCTTCTTTGATCACACATCATTCTTTACACATATTAAAAAAAGCCTCCATACACAAAACATCATGCAGATAGCATTACATCTTACATAACATTTGATGTTCACACCACACATCAATCAAACAACAGTAGATATAAACACTCTAAAAAGAAAGAAAGAAGGAAAGAAAAACAAGGGCTAACAGAAAATGAAAGAAAAAAAAAAACTGCTCATGAAAATAATAGAAAAGTAATTGAAGTAACATAATACAATATCACAGTTACGAACAAATCGCTATGCTGTCAAAGGAATACGGGCTACAGTTCCGTTACTGTAAGCAAGTACAAGTCCCTGCAAGTAATATGTCCCACTTAACCTCGCTTCCCTTGCTTTTCCAACTTCACTGCTCTTAATCCTGAAACAGTAAGAAAATGTTGTTAGTGCTTTTAGATTGATTTTACATGATGAGAAATGACTTACAACTGATGAATTACTATCAATGTTGTTTAGCATTTTGTTTTTCTAAAATGAACAATATGAAGAATAATTTCATAACATGATTAAGAAGATAAAACTATTATCAGAATTCATATATTGAACTGGCTTGTAGTAGGGCTGAAAACTGAAAATATAGTTTATGGTCTAGGACGATTTACAAACTTTTGTATGTTAAATATATTTTAGTGGCATTCACATAGCTTGAAGCTTGGGTCCCATGATTTACAGTTAGGGCCCTAAAGAATGACCCCATATCTGTAATCAAGGGCTTAAAACAAGAGCCCTTTATCTCAAACAAAGGGTCACAAACATAGGCCACTTTTTAAAGTAGCGTAGAAATCTTATTCGAAGTTAAATGAATTATTCAGCGATGCAAAATATTAAAACATTATCCACATTTATCAAAAAAGTATAAATATATCTGAAAACCTTTTAGCAGGGCCCCTTAGACTACAGCCTATACTAGCTTATAGGATAATATGGCCCTGTTTATGATAATTTTTTTTGAAGACAGATGCCTTACCGACTTGCAATCTCATCTATAGAACAACTGCAGAATATTTCCTTCTCTCCACTTATTGGATTAACTGCAGATATCTGAGCCTCTTCTGCTGTGATGGAAGTAATGAATAAATATTCCTGGAAAGAAGAAAAAGAAAAAAATTAAATGTGCTCACTTTCACAAAATGTTGCTAAATTTTACTGTTTTTACTGAACACTACCAAAGAGAACTGGATATTGAGTTGTTATTATTACAATTTATCTTGAGAAATAAATTCTTATCAAGAAAACATTTTAACACACAAACATCTACTCATCACAACAAATTTACACAATCTATACATATATACAATTATACTTAAAATCTATTAGGCATAAAATACAATCATGGAACCTTACCTTTATGCTAACTGCCCAACACACCACTGACACATGCCACGGAATCTGCGTAATGATCACATCTTGCAATGCATCATACACATACATGACAGTTGAAGTTGTACACAGAACAATGCCCTCTGAACCTATAATTCAATCAAAGAGTTCTCAGCACAGACTAAACAAAGAAGAAATGAGAAATTATTCATATAGCACTTTTAAGTAAATAAAATATAGACACAAAGGGAAAGACAATGGATAAAAAGTGAATAATTACCTACGCCATTCAGTGGTACCAGACTCACAAGAGATTCATCCCACTGTGGATCCACTACATTCGACTGACACTGCAGAAGCCACTTCTTGCTGCGTTTGGAATAAGCAAGATCAAAGTCTGTTATCATCAGTGACCCGTCTCTGCTAGCTTCTTCTGGCCTCCAATGTAAGATAATGCTCCACTCTCCAAGTGAACAGCATAGCAACTTCTCATACATTGCACTGCAGGAAAAGTGTTTTTATTTGTATGTAAATCGACTGGTATGTTTCCTGTCTTGAACAGAAATCATCAAATACATACCAATACTTTTACTATAATTTGAGGATTTAAGTAAATTGTGGTCTTAATGTTACTTGGGTTTTAAGGAAATTATACTATTAATATCACTGAGGAGGAGGAATGGAAGAAAAGAGGAGGAGGAAGTGAAGCAAAGAAGGAGGAGGATGAGGAGGAGGAAGGGATGCAAAACAGAAGGAAGAGGAAGGGAAGCAAAGGAGGAGGAGGACGAGGAGGATGAGGAGAAGGAGGAGGAGGAGGAGGAGGAGGAGGAGGGGCAAGGAGGAGGAAGGGGGCGAGGAGAAGAAGAAGGAGGAGGAGGAGGAGGAAGAGAAGAAGGAGGAGGAGGAGGAGAAGATGAGGAAAAGGAATAGGAGGAGGTGGAGAGGAGGGGAGGAGGGAAGGAGGAGGAGGTGAAGGAAGTAAAAGGGCAAAAAAGAAGTAGGTTAGTGAAGACAATAAATTGTGGTTTTAATGTTACTTGCATTTTAAGGGGGAAGAGGAGAAGGAGAAGGAGGAAGGAAGAAAGAAAGGAGGAGAAGGAGAAGATGATGAGGAAAAAGGAATAGGAGAAGGAGATGGATGGGGTAAGCAAAGGCGTAACAAGAAGAAGGGGAGGAGGGGAAGAGGAGGAGGTGAAGGAGCAAAAGGACAATAAATAAGTAGGCTAGTGAAGAAAATAAAGAAAACTACCATTCAGAAATTCAGTCTTAAATATCTAAAAATACAAAAGAGAAAGAGAAAAAACAAAGACATATTTACCACTGTACAGGAACAACAGTTGTTTCCACTGTTCTGCTTGGTGTTAACTGAACATATATCATGACTACTTCCTTTTCTAGAAACTTTTCTAATATCACAAGGTACCTGGCCTCGTCATCTGATGGGAATCCTACTGCTGCAATATTTCTGGAAAGCAGGATACAAAAATCAGTTATTCAAAATCAAAGTTTTGTAGAACATAAATTTGCCAAAATCTAATGCATAAGCCTGACAGAGCAATAATAAAAAATGATACATAATAATAATCACACAAAATGAATCCCACAAGTAGAAATATCATAATGCCACAAAACCATAGAAATATTACTTTCCAACCTGCGTAAATTTAATAATGGCTTTTTTGCAAGGAAAGCATTTTATCTTTAATACACAAACGAGCTGTAAGTGATATGTATATGATCAGTGGTAACAATGCTTAGCTTGAAACACAGGTATCATGATATCATAAATAATTAGGTAAGACTCAACACATAGTAGTTGTAATAATTAGTATCAGAAACAACAGTAGCAAAAACAATGTAAGCAGCAATAGCACTAATAGGAGGTGTACTTTCATAACAATAATAATAATGGTAATTGTAATGATAATGATAATAATAATAACAATAATAAATAATTAAGGACCACATGGAAAATTCATAATCAAAGAAATTTTGCAGACATTAAAGTCCATCTTCACCAAATTTCAAAATTTTACTGATTAGCTACTGCTTATCTACAATGATGAATAATGTATTTTAAAAAGACAAAAAGAACAAAATATAAATTGCTTACAATCAAGCTCTTTAATCAATAATGCTACCAGGATCAAGATGTTTCATGTTGAGTTCAATGTTGATTTGCTATTTAAAACTCCAATAATCATTTATGCTTCAGACTTATGAAAAAAAAGAAAAAAAAATTATCAATTCTTTTTATATATATACTCTAAATTCATAGCAATATAATTATACATTTCATTTCATTCACAAAACTTTTGAATTGCTTAGGGACTAAGTATTCATAAATCACATTTTGAGATACTGGGCTTTAATGAAGTGCAAGGCTGGGTGGCAGAATACATAAGGTGCCTTCTGATGATAATGATGATGATTGTGATGATGACAACATTGATGATGATGATGGTTATGATGATGTTGATGGTGATGATGACAAAAATGGTGATGGTGGTGATTATGATGATGACAATGATCATGTTTTACCTCATTTCAGAGACAGATCCAACAGAATAGTCAACTTCATCAATCAAGCTCCACTCATGCCAAGACACATTTTGGTCAAAATTTTGATTGAGGTCGTCTGCATCTCCTTCCTTGTCACTCATCCTCCAATGCGTGAAGCCGAACTCATGGACAAGCAAAACACGCACAATTTCCTTGCCTCTCTCCTTTGTGGCTGCGACTGACGTAGTTAGTATCTTGCCAAACTTCTCCCTTGAGCTTAGAGTTTGGTAATTTATTTTCCCATCACCTGGAGGACCTCGAAAGTCTCTGGCATACTCTTGTGATTCAGGCAGGAGATCATCCTTCCTTTCAGTATGAAGAAGTTCTGCACCTTCACCCACAAAACGAACTGTATCCTCAAATTCTACTTTTAGTTCTACTGGGCTTATATCACGACTTTTGGCACTATCATAACCTGGTTTACTTCCTGAATACTTTTCATTTGCATTCATGACTGTTTCCTCAGCACTCATAGCAGCAACCATCATTTCCTCTTCAAATCTTCACATGATGTCTCAAACATTTCAGTAATATTACTAGGTTCTCCGACCTTTTTCTCTTCAAGCACAGGATTATCTACTGCTACATCCATTCCATTGGTCTTTGCTGTATCTGAGACAGAATTTAATTCACTTTGTACAGTCATTTCAAGTTTATCTATGACAAATTTTGGTTCACATTTGGCTGTCTTAGTTTCATTAATTTTGTCTGATGCAGTGTCATTCTCCAAAAAGTGTCCTGTCTTCTTGTCAGAAACAATACTGCTGTGTTCTGATTTCCCCAGCCAATTCTCCGGTGTCAGTCTACGTATTGCATCCTTGGCATTAGGTTTACATCTTCTCCTGATATCAATATTCTCCTTCATGGATGAACAGATGTTTTGGGTTGCAAAGAGATCTTGCGACTCATCCCCTGCCGCAAAATTGGGGCGTTTTGAAATAATTTTGTGTTTGAGCAACA